CATATCAATGCAAAATTTTTTCGGTAACAATGAATGTATACTTTGAAGTGGCTCTTATCACTAGTAGAGGAAATCAAAGATTTTATATTGTTCATTGTTTAAACAAAATGTCATCAATATAAGGAAGAGAATTTGAATTCAATCTAGTTGAGATGTTGAGAAAGTTTTGATCGCAAATAATTGATATTTTAAGGGAAAGAAAATTTGTTATGAAAAGACTTCGCTGTACATTAAAGCTTACAAACTTGTAGAATATGCTGGCCTCCTGTAATAATACTATACGTTGGATGATAACTCCCATAGTGTAATGAATTGTTATTAATGAAATTTTATTCAAAGTAAATGTTTCGGAATAACTGGTGATGCAAGGTTCCGAAAACTTCCTATATTTCCCAAAACAAAAACTTAATCCATAACTAAATCATATATCCTAAACTTTCCAATATAAGTAGTAATATAACTATTTATTAAATAAATATTTTAACATAAAACATATTGTAAAATAACAATTTGAATACATCAAAGAAAAATATTTATTTACCAAAAGAAAATAAGATTTGTAATGTGGCGCAGTAAAAGTTGATCAAATGGCCGAAACATTAAACCAAAGAATTCTACAAATCAAATTTGTGATGAGGTTGGATTCGAAACTGACCTGGATATTTTAATGAAACAATTGGGTAAAGTTTTGATGGTAGATTTTTCCATTCTGATACTGCTGGATATCTTGTTCCATTAACCGTAAATGCACAATTCCTTTCATTCATATCCAAATGAACAGTAACTTTGCAATTATCTTCTTTAAATGATGGACAATAATATGTCACGTGCCCGGAATTGTCTGTATCACCCGATGAACCTAATACCCAAGCGGTTTTTTGATATCCTGCAAATATTTCATAATTAAGATTTTCTGAAGCACAAACTCCAACCCAAGCTAATGTACAATTCTTCTCAATGATAACATCCCATTCATATACACCTTTATTTTCTAATGCTATTTTGGCCGTAACGTTTTGATGTAAAAATCCATTTTGTGCTCGTACAACATTTCCATTATTCATAAGAAGTTTTGATCCACAAGCCGACTCATCCCAAACGCAATTTAATGTATTAAATGTCAATGCTGATAGAAATCCTCGACCTTCATTTAAAACTGTATTACTTGATAATGTATTGTGTCTATAAACATTTAAAATTGTTTCAGGTGGAATAACGTTTAATGGCTCAATGATATTAACCAATATTTGACCTTTAATTCGTTTGAAATCGATAAATTTTATCAAAGATTCTAAACCTTTAGCAATTTTCTGATGATCTGGGATAATCTCATTATCAATTGGCTCTGAATTGTCTACATTTTCTAAATTTGGCAAACGTTTCAAAAGTATTTTAGTAGCATCATCAGAAATCTGTCTTGCTACCGAAATAGTACTATATCGAAAAACTTCATATTCCAGGGTTGCGAAGGGTTTTTCACTTTCATAAGTACAAGATAAAAGGATCTGAAGTGCTGCCATGGATAATCGACCAAATTCAATATTATATAGTGGAATGATTGATACCGCTTCAACTAATAGATTAAAAAGAATATTATCATTTGTTAATGACATTGTGTCATCAACAATTTTAGATAACAATTCTGGTGAATAATTATCATTGTGATTTTTTTCCAAAGTAATTTTAACAGTTTTCACAATAAAATCTTGAAGGTCTAGTAATTGAAAATATTGCGCGGCATTAAAAGCTTCAACGATATTATCTTTGGTTAAAGATTCTTCTTTAATAACTCCTGTATAAATATATTCCAAAATAACTTCCATTCCAGAAGAATCAAATTTTGGGAAAGAAATTTGTTTCTCTTTCATTTCATTGTAGAGTAATGCATCAAATACATCGGATCTTGCAGCTAAGATTGCTCTACATCCGTGTAACGTAATTTCGTTATTGCATATAATTTCTATATCGCTATACCTTGGGTTATTGATTAATAACCTAAAGTCATGTTCTAATGAAAATCCTTTTGTCATTTTAGCAATATCTTCTTTTTCTACAGAATGTAACTAAAGAATATGTGGTGACAATTTATTTCGCGGGGAAAGAAAATTCAAACAGAAATTCATTTCTTGTCTATAAAAGGAAAAGTAATTAAAATCGGAAAATTTTTGAGAAGCATATGTGATATGGTCATTATTACCGCATCTTTACGGCTGCATCATGATTATTTGACTGACCGTAGTAAGTTTATACTTCTATAAAAAATAAAAATTCTCCGACCTAGATAATTCATAACAAGCAAGATAAAATATGTTCGGTTTAATAGAAAAGCTTAGTTTTATGGTAATATTTGCGCGAAAAGCATTAAGTCCTTGGGTATATAGCAAACTGCATAGTATGGTTATAATTTATGTATGTATAATGTGATATTTTATTTATACACATATAGTATTAGAAACCATTAGAAACCACAAGTATGGAATATTTCTTATGAAAAACCATACATGTATGGTTATTAAAGTATATATACCATACTTACCTAAAAATAAGAACTACATGTATATTCGAATCTATACTATACACGTTGTAATACCCTAAGTCCCTAGGCTAAGGATGGATTATACATTATTGTTAGCTTGGGAGTTAAAAATAAGACCATAAAACTGTATACATACATTTAATTTTTTTTTTTATCTAGAAAGTTTGGAATTTCATTCATCTCGCGAGTTGCATTCAGTGCATTCAGTATTAAATTTTCCATAAATATAAATTTTTCAATGTATTATATTCAGAAGTCATTAATTTTTAATGTTGCTAATAAAATTCCAAAATCTAGCTAGTCTCGATTTTATTATATGAATTGCTCAAATTATTATTATAATGTTTCAGAGAAATGTTCCGGATCACCTAATAATTAAATCTGATAAAGTTTATTTTATAAAAAATATTCTTTTTTTGTTTGTTTACTTTCTTCTAAATTAGTTGTTGTACAGTCAACGGTTTTGATAAATTTAAAACGTTCGTTATTAACATTTTTAAATTGTTTAATGTAAATATTTCGATTTTCATTTAACCCCCATTAATATAAATAAACAAAAGTTACATGTTCTCGTTGTTAGGAAATATTTATATTAGTAGCAAATAAATTAAAAATATTATCAACAATATTACTTTTTTAACTCCATAAATGACCATCTAAAAATATGACAAAAATTAAATCCATCAAATAATACATCTTCGTAATTATGATAAATTATTATTTTTTTTTTATGTTTTTAACAGATAACATCCTTTAATTTTCGGTGGCACGATATTTGAGGAGTGCAATTAATTAATTTATTTTTCTAATAAAAAAATTATTAATTATTTTATGTTCCTTCAATTGCAACTATTTTCAGCTATTATTATTGTTTAATTATTTTATATAAATGACGAATGGGTTTGTTAAGCAAAAAAAAAAATTCTTAAAATACTGTCGATCACATGAGTCACACCCATCTAATAAATGATGATGAAACTCCCGATTAATTTCTATAAGATTAACTGTTAAATTTCGTCGAAATTAACAATAATTCAATAGTTTAAGGTTGAGATAGATATTTTTTTCTTGATCCATTTTCGATTTACATAAATCTTTTTCCATTTTAAATAAAATTTCAAAGTTTTTAGAACTTTTTTAAGTTTGAATGAAAAAAAAACGAATTAATTACTTAGTGCGAATCTGAGATACTGTGTAACTGTTTTTATTACTAGTAATAGTTAGTTCTGCATCAAAGTAAATAGAATATGGAAAATATTTTATTTTAAAAAACATATTTATTTGGATTAACTTTTTATCGTTAGATTAAAAAATTAATTTAAAAATAGAAATATACAATGTGTCTAAATTTACGAACCTGTCTGTATATATATTACCTGTATATACTGTATAAAAAGAAAAATAGGTATATTATTTTCTAAAACCTCCACCTCCTCATAACATTTATAATGTTGTTAAAATATCCATTTAATTAGAGGAAAGTGGGCTTATAATAAATAACATGGTTTGGATGTATTATTGGCTTTCTTTGCATGATTAATTGATATTTTTTTAAAGAAAAAAAAAAAATTTTTTTTCACAATTGATAAATTATATGTTGCTTATGCAAATTGTACATGTATGAACTCAAACCAAAACCACTTCGTGAGAATCATATAACCCTATTTATTAAAATTTTCTAAAGAAGTACTAATAGTTTTACGCCAAATCAAAGCTTTTGTCGTAATAATCGAACGAATTTTTTTGATGATGAATTTCTATGTTACACAGCCTTCAAATCAAACGGGAAAAAACAAATTGGTTGCTCTTTTTCTTTTCGATAAACAGAAAACAATAAAAGCGAGCCACATTTTTTCCCTTTTACAAATATTTTGTCCATCACAGCATTGTTTTTACATGCTTTATTCAAGTCCGTTATACATCTCACCACATAGATTCCCTCATCCCTAAATAAATCATTACCTATAATAATTGAATAGTTCTACTTTTTTTTCTATTGTTAGAAAGTTAATAACCGTCGCATGAGCCGTAATTTAATTTGTTTATTCTCGAAAATAAAAAAAAATAAAAATTTTAATTTATTATTGGAGAATAATTTTACATGTTCTAAATGTTGAAAAAACGCCCGTTCACATTTCTGATTCTTATTTATGTTTCTTTTGTATCAAGATATGTCGAGTTCTGAGTAAAAATAAACGAATGAGTTAAACTTGATTTAGACGTCTATATTTGGAAAACGGCGAAAAAAAATATATGCAAAACAATCATGCAAATCTATATATTCCTGCTAACCTGATTTATCCTATGGCTTATAAAATTTTTTGAGAAAAAAAATTATAAATTTGTGTAAAAATTCCCTAAACTACTAACTTACTTCTATAGATAAAAAAAAATTATATATTCACAATTTTCTTTAATAGACTATTTTTACAAGATTTATTTTTAATAGATAATTAATGAAGAGATGATGTTCTCAAACAAACACATAAATTTATTCGTTCTCATCTTGTTTTTGGTAACTTTAGTTGGATCTTTTGAGAGTGCAAGCTCATCAAATATTTTCAGAAGACAAGATGCTGGCAATGATACCGACACAAGTGGTAAGTATCATAACTCGTGCCTGCGTGGCTAAATCACAAAGCTGATCGAATTCCTCTCTTAAATTGATAGGATCCGGTAATTCTGACATAAAAAAATTATGCAAAGGTTTTAAATTCGAAAACGCATTTGTTCAAGTCAAAAATGGTGAGACTATAACAGTGACATGGTCAAAAGGAGCATCTAAAGTAGAATCCGTAATAAATTGTGAAATGTATGGTGAAGCGGAAGCGAATAGTGTTACATTCTTTAAACAAATATGGCTTGGTGACGTTAAGTTTGTCGATGGTTTAACCGCCGTATCGGCACTGGTTAAGTTTGAAGTTCCACCTGGTGCTAAATTACCTCAAAGTATTTTATTACGTACTTGGGGTACAACCAGCGAAGGACCACATTGTACTACTTACACGTAAGTATTATTGATTTATTGATTGACACCTTACCTTTCTCTATTCTTTAAAAAAATTATAATTTTTTACTAAACATTTTTTTTTCTCCTTTTTTTAATCATTTAGTAAAAGATTCATGATAGTACCATAAATTCCTTAAAGTCTCTCTCGGACCATGATTTTTATTGTTATTTTTTTTTTTTTTACCGGATTTAATTTTTTACTTTTAGAATTGATTCGTTCTCAAGAAGTAAAAAAAAATTCCATATGAACAATGTTAGATATTTGCACTAGCATTTGCTTTTAATGCAAACTGGGAAGGAGAAAATTCTAAGATGTTAATAAAACACGTCCGAACTTTTGTGAAATTAAGCGTTGTACGACATTTAAACCATTTTGTTGCGGTGCAACTTTTTTTTATAATAAATAAATTTTGAAACAAAAATTTTCCTAACTATTTGACAATAAAGAATAATCTTCTTGATATTGTACAAAAACATAAAAGAATTCTAGTGAACCTTTCATAGTATATATTTAAAAGAAAAATAAATTGTTAACTGTGCCTTTTTCTCAAAATTCTGTCTCCAAAGGTTTGCTCGGCGCATTCCGCGTATCAATTAAATATTTAAGCTATAATTATTGGTTAGTATTATTAAATACTATATATGCAGGAGGAGAGAATCAATCATCAATGTAGTAGTAATTACGTTACAACCCCTGATAGCAATCAATATTTTGGTGAGTGATGATCATAACTAAATTGCATTATCAAATTTTCTATTAGCAAAGTTTTTACCAGGTTCATCGAGTTCGCTATTTCTATGGATCAATTACCTAGAGGTTGAAACCGGCCTAAAATCCTTAACAGTTAAATGACCGGTTAAAAATCCCGGTTAATTAACCGGTTAAATTTAACTTAGGCCGGCACTATAAATTTGGGCGAAGCTAGCAAAATTTTTTGTAATCGCAAAAATCTTAATTCTGGCCGAAAATTTAAAATTCGGCCGGAGGTAAAATTAAATATTTTAACCGGATAAATAAAATCTTTATCAGTTAACTAGATACTGTAACCTTCTTAACCTGTTAATTAAATTCCAAGTTCTTACCAAGTTTTTATTAATTGTTTCAGATTTTGAGTTTATCATTAATGAGCTTCTATTTTTCGATCCGTTATACTTCCGGTTGCATAAATTGCATAAAATGATAGAATTAAGATTTTGGTGATATCAAAATATTTCGTCAGCTCCGTCCATATTTATAATACTGGCCTAGGTTTGATCAGTTAAATTGCCATTCTGAAAATCAGATGTGGATTTTTGTTAAAAAACAATGAATTATTGTTATTTTTAACAATAAAACTCAGAGTGTTGTAGAGTCAACAATTTCATAATTTAGGGCGTAGCAATGACAATTTCATAATTTATGGCACAGCAATGCGTACAAATGCGTACAACAATAATCAACAAAAGTATAAGAATCACATGTAAAATCATGTAATACAAAGCAGAATAATTATTTTATTGAAAGAAAGAAGTATACGCAGATAAACTATGAACCAAAAAGGAAGTTTATACAAGATAGATAAAATACAGAATAGAAAGACTTCAGATAAATTAATTATTGAAAGAAAATAGATAATTAAAAAGGGTCAAATGTTGGATAAATATGAACTTAATAAGAGGTCTTAAAGAAAGATAGAGAAAATAAAATGAAATAAAAGTTATAAAAGTAACACAAACATGCAGATAGTTGGAAATATCAAAATGGATTACATAGATGTTTGTATAATATAAAGAATTTAAAGATAACAAATGATATACATGATATCATAATAGTAAATATTACAAGAAGAAATTACAGAAAGTAGAATAGAACATAGTTCATTTAATTTAATATAAAAAAAGAAAATAAATAAAAATATTTCAGAATAATAGAATTAATAGAAAATATAAGAAGAAGAATAGAATATTAAATATCATATAGTAATAATTAAACTATTTATCATGAATAGTTATTATTCATCACATGTATTAATTTTTTATAATTAGGATAGATTTTGAATCAAATAACAACAGAATTTTACATCTTCTTCAAATCAAAAATAAAATGAAAAATAATTTAATAAATAAATTTTGAAAAACAAATAATTAAAAACCTTATCTGAAATAACAAGTATGATATCAGAAAATAAAGAAAATAAATAAAATAATTTTGCTTATTTATAATATTAAGTTAAATAAATGTTAAAAAAATAGTATCAAAATAAAAAATAAAAGAATTATATTATTATAATTATGAAAAAAAAAATAATAATATAAGGAAGAATATTATAAGAAGAAAATTAGAATATAAGAAAGTATATAAGAAGAATAATGATAATGTAAAAATTTATAAAAATGTATATTATGTGATTTCAGATCAATTATAAAAATAATATAATAAAAATGAAACTAAATGGGGTGAGTGTTGGGAAAAAGAACCAAATCAATAAAAAATTTTTTTTTGAAATAACAAATGATCTGAATCAGATGACCAAATCTACATCTACTTTACTTAAGAACTTTAAATTAAAAAAAGATCAATTTGGTTTATTTTTCCAACACTCATCCCAAATATTCTAAATATTATTAAATTTGTTTAAAATTTTTTTAAAAAAATATAAAAAAATTGATAATAAAGTAAAAAAAAATGTAATATAATAATAAAAGAATACTTATATAATAATAACATAAAAGAATTAAAAGATAAATCATCACTTGAAATGTAAGTATTAGTTTCTTGGCAATAAATATTAATTTGTAAAACAAATTTTCTTATAACGAATAACAGAAATAATTAAGAAAATACAACTATATTAAAGTGTTCAAACTAAAGATGAAAACTGTAATTAATATGTTGCAACTTTTAATATTGCAACTTACGTTGCAATTAGTTTTAACCTATATATATTGCAACTATTAATGTTGCAACTTATGTTGCAACTAATTTTAGCTTATATTGCAACAATTTATAAATTTGAAATCAATTGTTGCATTATCTTTAATTTAAATCTAAAATTATAAAAATTTTAATATAAGAATTGTGATAATATAGTAAGTTAGTATTAAAAAATTTTTTTGATCTATCAATTTAGATTAGATTTGAATTTAGATTTTTCAAATTCAGATTTATATTCAAATTACTAATCTATCAGATTTAGATTCAGTTTATATCAGATTTGTTTGATTCAAATTAAATTGATTTAGAATTTTCAGATTCAGATTAAATCAGATTTTATCTAAATCTAGAATAATCTAATCTATGTTTATTACTTCATATTTTTTAGAAAAATAATATAATAACAAATATAATAATATAATAATAATTATTAGAATAAAATAACAAATATTATAATAAAGTATTTATTAAAAAATTTATAATTATTGTTATAATATTTAATTATATTATAATTAAAAAAATTTTTTATTTTAATATTATATAATAAATACTTTATATAGTAATATTCATTAAATAATATTCATAAAATTAATTATAATATTTTGATTTAAGTAATTATTTAAATTTTCAGTAAATTAAGTAATTGACTAATATAATATTCATATAATTAAATTCATTTATTAATATTTTTATAAACTTATATGAAACTTCAAAATATTTAAATTTAGATTATTGTCATTTGTTTATTAGTCATATATAAAATCATAAAAAAAACCTAAAAATATAATTTAAATTATTATATATTATAAAGTATAAGTAAATAATAAATATAATTAATATTTTTACTAATAAATTTTTTGGATATAATTCTTTATTTCTTAAGTATTTTGATTAAAATCATATAATATTTTAAGAATTTCTTAACTATATGAATATTATTAGTTTTAAATTCATGTAATTAAATATTGATACTTATTAATATTATTAAGAAATGCATGAATTTCAGAAATTATATTTTTTTCATACATACTTTTAGCTTAACAATCTAATTAAAAAAAGTTTAAAATAAAAGAAATTAATAAATGCATTAAGCTAACCTAATATTAATTGTTATGCAATTAAGTCTATAAGTTAATTTTTAGTATTTTCAATAAGTTTTTTTAGTTTTAATTTAATACAAGTAGGAATTTTAATTAATAGTAATAGTGGATATATATAAATTTTTTTTAGATATTAAGATTACAAAAGGATATCTTTGCAAATTTAAAAATATTAACATTTTAAATTTAATTGAATAAGAAATTTATTTTAATTCTATTTTTTATATTAAACCTTAAAAGAGATAACTAGTATCTAATAAAATAATTATTAATATTTTTAATAAATATTATTATATTAATAAAAGTAAAATTACTTATTATAATACTTTAATAATAACCTAAAGTATATAATTTATTATAATTCATATTATTATAAATTATAAGAATAATATAAAAGCTAATAAAAATATATACTTTCTGATTTAGAATCATTTTCTGATTCAATAAAAAGTAATTTTAAAAGATTAATATTTATACTAGTTTTATTCTGCAAAAATATATGATCTTTTTTTATTTTGATTCTATTTGTTATATCTTATATTAGTCGAAATTTTTTTTTAAATAATTAATAATACAGTCTTACCACAGATATTTATTGATATGTGATAGTACAATTAGTAAACTAAAAATAAAAAATAATATTATAATATCGCAACATACTCCTGTAATTTTATTTTAAACTAGTTTGAGTCAATTGATTACTGTCACCCTTTAAAAAGGGTGAAAATAAAGGTGTCAGAAAGCAACTAATTTTTAAATGCTTTTCAGTCTCTAACTTCTCTCAAAAGTAAAAACTAATACTAAAACTAATATCTGAAATAAGAAATTGATACAAATAGAAATTTTCAAATAACTAAAAATAATTCTATAAGTCCTAGCTAAAGTTCAGTCAATTCTAGTTTAAAGTGACCACCCAGCATAAAAAGATGTGTCTAAGTAACTAGATTCAAACAGAGGCTTTTAATACTTACAAATTCATAAGTATGG